TGCGCGCCTGTCAGTGCGTATTATCGCCGCCCCTTTCCACCGAAACACCGACATGGCCGGGGCTCTGCTCGTCTGCCGCCGATGAGTATTGGAATATGGAGTAGTCTGGTCGAGGGCCAACTGTCTCCTCTAATCATAACTAGCTGGAAGCTAATCCACCGCCATCGAACTCGATACGCACACTACTGCTGCTCGTAACAGCGACTTTGAGAGCCAGAGAGAGTGAGAGAAGAGGGTAGAGTAGAGAGAGAGACAGAATGAGAGAGGTAGAGAGAGAGAAACAGCACCCTTATTCGAAGTTGATAATAGGACGGCCCTGCTAGCGTGACCCCCCTCGATTGATATGTCACGGGCCGGGTCGTTGGGCCGAGCTATTAATTACGAGCGATTGAAGGTGCGTCTGTTTTAAGCAATGTTCAATGAGCCAGCTAAGAGCGAAGTCTGCGTGAACCTGTAGTTGTGAAATGGTAGTTCATACCAGGGCTGTGGAGTAGTGCTGCCGGTGTACACGAATATACGACGGGAGTTGAGACTCGATTTTCGGTCCGATCCCGAGTACTATTTAGAAAAAAAATGGAGTAACTTGAACGTACATATTTCGAGTGGTTTGAAGCAATGAAATTGCTGGAAACATTCGAGGCACAGTAGGACCCCCCGTAACGCGGGAAATATGACACGAATTAAGTTCCACCGACGTCGCTTTTTGGGTCAAATTTAGATATCCCGAAATTTGAAAATTGCAAATTCAGAATTTGTGTGTTGTTTAAAAATGCTCGACATTACTAACGAAGGCAACTTTTTTAACCCTCTGTCACCTGATTTTTCTTCGTTCATCTTTGTTCATGATAGGACAATGACATAAAATGTGTTCTTGTTTAGAATTCAAGCTAAAATAACATTTAACCACAGATTTCAGAAAACTGAAGTTAATATGAAACGTACCGTAGACTCCTCTCGCTAAATTCAAAAATTCTCCTAATTCTCTTAATAACAAATTTATTTATCCTTCAAGACGCACGAAATATTTTGCTACCAATGTCGCCAATTTGTTAATAACTGAAAAAGTGACCGCCTGTGCCCTTCGACGAACGGACGAAATTTATTAGAAATCGACAGCGAAGGTGCGTCACATGAAACTTGAATATGACACAATAGAGAACACTGATTCACGTGATCGTTGCATAATTCATCGGTACGTATAAAAGTAAAGGCGCTTAAGCTCTGTCACTTGGATGACAGAAGCGACGAGAGGAATGGACGATCACGAACAGTCGATAATACCGATACTTTGGCCAGTACTCCAGGGGATTCAGTAAATACGCTAATAAAATGCAGCGGGATGCACGCGCGGATTAGAATCGCTCGAATCGTAGCTACCACCCCTAACCTATAATAACATGAATGATAGCCGAGAAAAGGGGGTCGTGTCCTTGCCTGCTCGATGTAATAACTCTGCTTGGACAAGTTGATCCGCCTACAATTCGTTTCGTCCAAGATTCGGCAAAGTCAATAAAACCAACGAATTAGATTACCCCTTGATCCAGGTACTTTGTTTGTTAACCTTTTAATGGGTCCTTAATCGAGTACGAAGTAAGAAAAAATATCGGATTGAATTGTTTAGCTAATGTTTCATAAAGATAGAAATTATTTCAAATTTTCCTCGATAGAAAATTACTTCGAGATACTTCGTGAGCTAATTCTGTAAGTTTGTTAGTTTAACTTCCGTGTAGAAATATACAATAGAAATTGATTAAATTTCAATGAAACCTGAAGTCGATAATTAATTTGAACTACACTTGGAATAATTTACTAGATTTTTTATATGAAAATAGGAACGTGTCGTCGATATTCGCCATCTTTAGGAACTCTAGATATTAAAAGAATATTAAAAATATGAAATATTTACAAAATTAAATATTAAATATTATTTTTTACAAATATATTCTACATGTGCTTCGTCAATGATTAGCACCCAAATTTAAGGTAATCATTTTCACAGACTCATATTAAGAAACTTAAACACTGTTTACAACTATATTAAAAAATTAATATTTCTTTCCAAAAGGAAGAAAAATCTGAAACGGTAACAAATAAATTTTCTAAAATTTCCTTTTTAAATTCTGAAACATATTTCACACCATTTGTTTCATCCCACTGAACTATCAATTTGCATTAAAAAGTGTCTTAAAGAAATACCATAGAAACATAAAATAAAGACTAATTAAAAAAAAAAAAAACCAAAAGTCCACCCCTAGATCAGAAGCAAAAATTAAAATTCATTACCAATGGGTTAATCATGTGTAAAACTCGTTGCACCGTAACTTATGCCACAAATGAAATTCGCCATCTGTGTAATAGCAATTGCGCGCAGGAGTCACGCGACATCTACGCAGAAGTAATTCGAAAGATACGCGAAAATATC